TTCCACTAGCATCACGTTTTACGACATTTTTGCTTGGGCATGCGCAGAAATCAAAATGTTTGGACCAGAAAGTGACCTATGTCTTTAGGCTTTTCAATTTTTTATTTTTTTGGTTCGTCTTTCCTTTTTCTCCCTTTCTTTTCTTTTTGCTGCAGTGATTGACCTTCTACTGGGCTTGCTTCCAGTTTGAAACATTCTGAGAAAGCATCATTGAGACGGGCAATTTTTGCCATGGAGTAGCCACATGTAGTGGCAGGACATTTTGCTCTGAGTTTTTCACTCAACTTTTTGTGCATTTTTGTGCATATCTCAGGCTCCATTGGGCCAATCACTCTGATCTGGGTATCATTGGAAAGACCTTTTCCTCCTGCAGAAGTTGAGCATAGATAATGCCACTTTTGGTCAAAGGTGATGACGTCAGAAGTGGAAGATTTCCCTTCAAACGCAAGTATCAAGGACCAAATCCAAATGTGCTAAGCGAGGCCAAGGCTCGTCACGGCCGGTTATGGCCGGCACAGGAGTCAATGGGTTAAGCATATGAATCTGGCAGGGTACAGTGAAAGGGTATCACATTAGGGATGGGAGGGAAGATAATTCCTTGTGGTATATTGGATTCAGCCTTTAGGCTAGTGTTCTCAATAGACGGGCATAACAGGCAGAATTACCACTGGCTTTCAAAACAAAAGTAGCAACCTAGTCTAGCCTGTGAGCGTCCTCCTACACCACAGCCTACCCCCTACCCCTTTTTGAGCAAGAAATGCTTCAGCTTAATTAACCTACTGCCTTTTGGAGGAAGAGAGTATTTACCGTAACACACCCACTTTTTGTGTAAGAAAGGGTCCACTTTCATCTGCTTTCTTTCTAAGTGGGAAATTGTCCATCGTTGACCATCCTACAGGGTAAAGAAGGGTTGACTCCCCCCTTTTGAAGCAAGGGAGGGTCCCCTTTTTGAGGAGGAATGGGTCCACCCCCACTAGCCACTCCCTCTCCTCATTTGGGCCAGGACTTAGGGTCCAGGGGCCACTTTTACTTCAGCCTCTCCCTTCATGCTAAATCAATAAATACAGCAAACTGGAAAATGTATCAAATGATTTAATAAACTCTACTGATTATAATAATGTAGTCTGGATAGATCAGAACTGTAGAGGAAACAATTACCATTACATCTTTGAGGAAACCTGGAAGACATCTCATGTTATAGACTGCAAAACATCAGTTTCTACGTTTTAAAACGATTTTGCTTTTCTAGGAAGATTTTTGTGAACTTTCTGACTATATTCCTGAACAAATTTCATATTTTACACAAATCAGCCCATATCATGTGCTGTAATGGTCTTACACAAATCATGTAATGTTACATGAAGTAGTACTACTGCTGACCCTGTGTAGTGACATATTCTCAGTGTGTGGTGATCCTGTAAAGCAGCCATTTATTCTTGAATGAGTAGACTGGCTGTTTTCAGCTGTTCTGCAAGTCTGATTTCATTGTCAAGTTTTGTAGCAAAGGAGCTTTTACTATGACATGTTGGGATTTAGCTTTCTGTCCTCTTGAAACAACACACTACTGCAGCTGCTAACCAATAGAGCTAAACACCAATGGTCATTGTTGGTACACAAGGAGGGCACAGCCCAATTAAGCACCTACTTCATTAATTACCTCTTCCTGCCTTCTCTTCTGCAGCCTGTTAGCAGCAAAGGAACCTTATCCATTCAGTTGCTAGATTACAATAATCCAAGCTCTAAAGATTATGCTGGATCATGCTGCGACTGCTGTGGTGTGTTTGGTTGGTGCCCAAATGATTGTGAAAACTTCTTCCGGATTATTGTCACATCGTATCCATACAATTTTTTTAGTGCTCTGTCACCTTGGGAAAGGTGGGAGACGTTCGTTTTAGGAGATGATAGTTTTGATTTTCCTGGATATGGTCAAACTGTTGGTAGTAGTCTGCACAACCCACTGACGTACCATTTTACTGGAAGGTGGCCGGTATGATAGTTTGTTGTTTAGTATTTAATAGATAACATAGTCTTTATTACAAATTTTTAAAATTATAAATATTTTAAAAAGAGTCTACTTTAGATAGCCCTGTGTTCATGCATAAAGTAAAGTAAAGTAAAGTGCATATACATGTACCCTTGTTCCGCATAACACAGAATAAATACTCCTCATCAATTACGTTGCTTGACTCAGTAAAGAGGGTGGTAAAGGGGGGTTATAGATCACGTTTCACAGAAAATAAAAGAGAACATTTTGGAAATCAAGGTTCACGGCAACTATGGAAATCATGATTCGCAAGGAAAAAATTAGACATTTCACATTTCATGGGGAAAAAAAAGGGCCAATCACGAGTCACGAAAATACCCTTTACCACCCTCAGTAAAGCCAAATTGCTGTGTTCCAGTGATGTTTATGTGATGTTCTATATTCATTGTATCATTTAGGTTTGTGGATTATTTAAATAGAAATATTGACAGCTAGGTATTTCAATCTGCTCCAGACACTAAGCAAATTCTACCTCTCCTTACAAGTGTATTTTTCTGAAGCTGTCCCCCAGTGGGAGCAGGTAGACTCTCATGTGTTCAAAAAGGTCGGTCAAATAATACCTGAGCCAGGTCCATATTGGTCTTGTTTAGAGGTTTAATTTAAATTTTCTAAGGAGCTTCCCCATAGAAGTTCCCCCTGCTACTGTTGCGCCACATTGCCACTCCATTTGGATCCATACTAGTACTAATTCAAGTGATTATGCAAAGTACTGGGAATTATTTTTAAGAAATAATTATACTGTGTATACTATACAATTAAGTGTATAATTGCTGGACATTGTGTTTCAGGAAGCATTTGCTATTGGCCTGGATGTATGGGATGACGACAGTGGTAATTTTCTTAAAATTGGACATGCTGATGATCTTGTTGACACCATGAGTAGTAACGTTGGTAATGTTCCAGCACAGAAGGATTTGCAGAGTGCTGTTGCCAAAAGTGTCACGGTACAACTANTTTATGTGATGTTCTATATTCATTGTATCATTTAGGTTTGTGGATTATTTAAATAGAAATATTGACAGCTGGGTATTTCAATCTGCTCCAGACACTAAGCAAATTCTACCTCTCCTTACAAGTGCATTTTTCTGAAGCTGTCCCCCAGTGGGAGCGGGTAGACTATTGTGTTCAAAAAGATCGGTCAAATAATACCTGAGCCAGGTCCGTATTGGTCTTATTTAGAGGTTTAATTTGAATTTTCTAAGGAGCTTCCCCATAGAAGTTCTCCCTGCTACTGTTGCACCACATTGCCACTCCATTTGGATCCATACTATTACTAATTCAAGTGATTATGCAAAGTACTGGGAATTATTTTCAAGAAATATACTGTGTATACTATACAAGTAAGTGTATTATTGCTGGACATTGTGTTTCAGGAAGCATTTGCTATTGGCTTGGATGTATGGGATGACGACAGTGGCAATTTTCTTAAAATTGGACATGCTGATGATCTTGTTGACACCATGAGTAGTAACGTTGGTAATGTTCCAGCACAGAAGGATTTGCAGAGTGCTGTTGCCAAAAGTGTCACGGTACAACTATAGAATGGACTATGT